GATTTTAATAAATTGCAATTACATGATTTTACTTATGATTTTAATAAATTGCAATTACATGATTTTACTTATGATTTTATTCACATAGGATTTTACTTATGATTTTATTCACTTAGGATTTTACTATGATTTTAATATATTACAATTACAGGATTTTACTTATATTTCTATGGGAGTATTTTTGCTCACCACATTAACCAAAAGGTGTATGCTCACCGCCACCCTTAAAAAGGTGTCTGCCTCATCCTTCTTAGAATCTCTTCTTCTGTAGCGCATTATTACTAGTAACCAACCAACCAACCAACCACATCAATCAAAAATCAAAGAGGCAAGCTTTGAGTTTTGAAATTGGGATTAAGACTAAGAGCAAGCAATTTCGTATTTTCTTTTGTTAGATTTTGATTGATTCATAATTTGGTAGTTTATTGGATTTGGAAGATTTTAGTTTTAGATTTAGGGGTAGCCAAATTATATGGAGGAAGATGAGATGGGTTTAGGGGTTTAGTGGTGGTTGTTTTTTTGGAGAAAAAAAAAAGTGGTGGTTGTTTACTGTACACTAAGGGAGAGAGGAGAGTGCAGGAAAAAGGAGAAAGAGGGGTAAGGGGAGGGAGGAAAGAAAGGAAGAAAAAAGAAGAAAAAATAAAGGAAGAGGGAAAGGAGGAAAGGGGCAGTGTGCTATGATGTGGGCCCTTTATTGTCTCTCTTATGATTTTTTATTTTTTTTAACAGTAAAAAGCATGAAAAAATAGTGGGGGAAAAAAAGTATGAGAGCATATATGAGAATCATGCATAGGAGGGTGTGATTTGTTATGTGATTTGGTATGTATATCACACACTCAAAAGTATCACACAATACACCATTTAATGAAATAAATTAAAATCAGTAAGTTTTTTAATACCACGGTACTTTTTCTTATCTTTTAAAAGTCCTAATTGAATACCACTGGACTTGTATTGGTTATTTAAAAATCCTAACTGAATACCACCAGACTTTTATTGATTACTTAAAAATCCTAATTGAATACCGTTGTACTTTTAAACTTCAAAATAATTCATTAAAATCTCAATTGAATACACCCTCCTAAAAAAACGTTAATTATATCCTTAAAACTTGAAAATGTGTGTAACAAATAATGAAACCATGTCTAGTTCGTCTTTCCGGTTTTTGGGCCTTGTGGGCAATGAGGGAATTGAATACCCTCGTTCGATGCACAATGGTGTAAAATATCGATAATATCAGAAATATTAGTAGTTCGAAAACATGGAAATTTCGATGGTAATATCGAGATATTATCGATATCGATCAAAATTGAATAAAAACCATGGAAATTGTAAGAAAAACTTGGAAATTTTTATTGAAACTTTGGAGAATGTTTATTTAGTCAATTATCTATTAGTTTATCAAAAAAAGAAGAAGAAGGAAATGCATTATATGATGGATTTAACTTATTTAAGTTGATTATATAGCGAGCTGGCAAATACTGTGAGTGTAGAAAATATGTAGTAATTAATGAAAAAAAGATTAAACACACCACAATCATTTATATATAATGATTTACTACAATATTTTACACTTTATACATTGCATGGTAAGAGACATGATTGACTTAGTACCACATAGAGTTCCTATGAGGTTCAAATTTTTTACTATCTTCATCATCTCTATGTGTAGAGTAAGTGTATTGTGAAGAGTATTCATTAAATGATAAATCCCCAAAATAGTTTTGCATGTAATTGTTAACATGCCACCAATATAAATATAAATATTTTAGCATATTATCACTAAAACATAAGTGATATATGGTGGTTAAGGTGTTGGAGGAGTAAAATGGGAGGGGTTCAAATTCGAATTCGCCATGATATATCTGATCCATGCATAATATCATGAACAATGGATACAAATTTTTGTCTGCTACTTAGTATCGGCAATAGGTCTGAAAAAGTATATAGATGTGTCCTTGGGAATAAAATTTCCTTCTTCTCTTGGTTGTCATTGGCATAAGGCTCTAGTTCGACTAGCTTGAAGGTGGGCAATTTTGCTTAGCAGTAGGAATGACTGATTTTTCTCAATCTTTTCAACCTTGGTTCCGTAGGAGCAAGTCAGAAAGATTGAGAAATAAAACCATCTGATTTGATTCGTTCTCAATAGCCATGAGATGATCATCTTAGGGTGATCCTATTTACGTCTTCCTGAATTGGGAGAGCAAGCACAAGTCTCTCTTCTTTTTTTTGTTTTTACCCTTTATTGGAACTTTAAAAATTCTTCCTACTGAACGGGAGCTACTAGATTTGTATTTGTTGAATCTTCCTTACCAAGACCCCGAATGGGTTAACTTTTTGAACACCGCGCAGCTCAGTAGTCCACCCGCTGAGCTGGATTCCGCTTTCCAGTCGTTTATGCGGCTAGAATTCTCCGTATCCGCCCGGCTGCCCTGAGGGATCCCTTTTATACAAGAGCCATAAGTCTTACCTTATTTATCTCTTATTTCCGTTTTTTAGAAAGCTGAAAAATTGAGTTACAAAAGCCCTCACTGCTCTCACCCATATCTAAACCAATTCTTCTATTTAGAAGAGTGTGTGTTTTTTTCCTCCCTTTTTTCCCTTTTTTTTTTCCTTTACATCGATATTTTAGCGATATTACATCGATATTTTGACAAAATATTGCTGAAGTGTGAGCAAAATTATCGACATCGATATTTTCTGATATTATCGTCGATGTTGTCGATATTTATACGATATGTACATGAATATGTTCCGAAATATCCGTGATTCAAAAAATTGAAATATCCTCGATATTTCGTCGATATGATCGATATTTCAGACTATGAGATGCACACCATTAATAGCATGTTATTAGCAATAAGTGTTGAAAATATTTTAATTTATGTTTTTTTTATGTTTTCGAATATATGAGTATTAGAATGATTTCAATTTCTAATTTTTCATGCGTTTATTATTAATACATAGATATAATGAATAAAAAATTATGTGGATTTCACGTTAAAGTCTGTAATCAAATACCCTCAAAATTAAAATTAGTATAAACTAGGAAAGTAATTGATCTGATTCCAATTATTTGATTCTCCTATCCAATGACATGTTTACTTATTAGGAATGAGAGAATGCATGAATTGAGAAACTTAGATAGGTGAATAATTGATCTGATTTTAATTGCTTGATTCGCCAATAAAAAATATTAAAGAAAAAATGGGTCGAAACAAAAATTAAATTTGATATATCGATTGCTATTCATCCACATAAATAAAATAAAAAAACTAAACTAAAAAAACTGAAACATCTAACGGAATGTTGAACCAACCAAGTGAGCTCCCAAAGATATTTTTAAGAGCGATGCCATCAAGTGGAACTGCCCAAAAATAAAAGGCAGTGAAAGAAGAGATTGTTTTTGTTGCTACAGTAGAGAGGCACAGTCTCAAATCTGACAGTGCAACAACCAAGAGAAAGCAGAATGCAGGGACCCGCTCCACGCACCTCCAAACCTGCGTCGGTCCTTACGTTTACAAACACGCCACCCAAACGCCGTTTGGGGGTTTCCTCAGCCGTCAGACTCAGCGTTCACGTGGCACCTGCCAACGCGCTTATTGGAAAGTGAAGGAAATCCATGGGGTAAGCGCTGTGGTAAATGGACCTTACAACACGTGGATCTGCAATATTGACGTTATCCTCGGGCCCACCCTCACAATACGGCTGCCAACTTACTCAGATGCTGACGTCATGTGTCAGAATTTGAAAGGAGGGGGAGTTTCGGTTTTACTGTTTGGCCACGGAATATGATTTTTGTTCTTCTTTTGTTTGATAAGTTTCTTCATCAAAGTCTTCCAATTTAGTTAAGTTGGATAGATTGGAATAGAGCGGATGTACTTCTTAAGTTAAGTTGGATAGATCGGAATAGAGCGGATGTACTTCTTATTGTGCATCTAAGTTTGAATATCCGATATTATAGTTTTAGATTAAATTTAAGTAAAATATTATTTCTTTATTCTATTAAAAAAACAAACCTCATTAACAATATAGCTATTTTAATTTGGGTCACGAACTATTTTGTGTAAACTCTCCCCTCACCTCCTAAGTATTCTAATCCTAATTGGACTGGTTTTCCTAATTAAGCATGTCACAATCTACAGTCGTGAATAGTGACTGTATTTATATTTGTTATGGGGCCTCCGATCCCCAAACTCACCAAAAGAAGAAACTCCAATTGAAGATTGATATATTCCGGTCCCCACCCACATACAAAGTCAATTAGGTGGGTAGTAATCAATTCAATATGTAAAGAAGAAAAAATAAGCAAAGAAATAACTTTTTTTGTTTTACAACAAGTTAACGAGTCTAATCCAGTAAAAAAGAACATTGATGTGCATTTTTGTTATAAATAAAGCGATCAACTAATCTAGGATGGGGGTGCCACACACAAGGGAATTGGAACTTGTACCATGGGGTATGCAAACAAACATCTCCACCACTGACCCACTAACTCTTAATTTATAAGTATTTGTCAGTACTTTAAAAAGATATCCCAAATTCGAATTCTACTTCTTATATTTCAACAAAACAACAATAAAAAATTGTAGAAGCAAGCTAAATGAGACCATGGTATGAGAGTAAAGGTAAAACCCAGTTGTTTTTTATTTTTATTTTATTTTTTATTGAGGAAAAAGGTAAAAGCCATAAAGTTTTTTAACTTGTGTGGGGAATATCCTTTTCCTGAACTAAAATAAAATAATAAAATAACTAAGCCAAGTCTCATTCCACCTTATAAGTACTCTGACAAGGTTCGGTTGTTCTTTATTGGATTCACATTAATTGTCCAAAACTCCAACCCCCAATCTCTCAAAAAACCCAGACCAGATCAAAACAAAGCTGCCCCATAAGAACCAACTCAACAAGATCAAAAAGCAAATTCGAGAAAAGCCCGTGCCTTTTGGTGAAAACCAACCCAAGAAACAAAGATCAGAAGAAACTAAAGACTCAGGAGAAAAATGTGGTTGGTGTATGTCTGTGATGAGGAAGAGAAGGAGCTGGGGAGGCAGCAAGCCCCTGGATCATGCCCACACTGTGGAGGCAAAGTGCAGGCTGTGGATGTTGAGGCCCAGTGGAAGCTTTGCTTTCTGCCCATGTGCTTCAAGATCAAGAGAAAGTATTTCTGCACTCTCTGTGCCAGGCGCTTGGTCTTGTACTACTAATAACAAGTTCAACACCAGCATATACAATTAGTAGCAGAGACCAAGAAACTTAAAGCTCTCTCCTCTCTCTCTCTCTCTCTCTCTCTCTCTCTCTCTCTCCATGGATTTTAGTTGTGGCCCTTTTGGGTTACAATGGGATTCAGGAACCATGGGGTTTTGTTGTAAAAATGATTGTTGGATGGTTCTTCATTTGAATGCAAATTTTCCAGTAAATTATTTACTGGTTGAAATGTTTTGGGTCTGTTTTTTATTATATATATTATGATTCTGAGCTTAAGAAGATCTAATTAAGATGGGTGGTTTCCGTTTTCTTTAAGTTTTAATATGTTTAGAGGTAAGTCGGTCACTAATCATTAGTAATTAGTATACCTTTGTTTGCTAATCATAATAATTAGTGAATGTGCAAAAATGAATTTTAGAATTATGGTTAGATTTTACCAGATTTAATCATTTCCTCTATGTTTTCCTTTCATTCAGGGGATGGAATATTGAAAATGGACAATCCGTACTGTGGTTTTCTACCACCAAGTACCAACTCTTTTTCTTTTCTTTTTTGGCCGGCCACTAACTTTCCTTCTGCATAAAATCTTTCGACATGGAAATGTCCAGACTACCAACTTGTAAAGGAAAGAAGCCCGCCTAGATTTCTCTAGGTGGAACTGGAACGAGGAGGCCTTAATTTTAATTTTTTTTAAAATATTTTTGGCCAACTGAATATTCATTAAGAAAATGACATGTGACAGAAGTTTTGAGTGTTCTTGAAGATGGAGAAACTTTGAGAAACAAGCATGTCATCAAATCCGAATGAGTAAGGTTGTGGGTTAGGAGGGTTTGACTGGCAAATTATTTTATTTTATTTTATTTTGTTTGGAATTAACAGCGTTAAGCGTATAGCATTAAGAATTTGACGTGTTATGTTTTAGATCGTTAGATTATTAGAATGATTAAAAATCTTAATAAAATGCGGTTAAATGCACAATTCGGAATCCTTAGCGTTGATTGCCAATGACGTAATTCTTCGACAAGATTTGAACCACACCTCTCCATTATCTACAGAGCCAGAAGTTGATTCATTTTTAGGCCAAAGTCAGATATGGTGGGTGTGAGCTCAGGTTAAAGTTAAAAACTATACATGCAAACAGACAAAGAGGTGAGGTGGTTACGAATCAGACCACTAGGATTGGATGATTTTAGCAGGATGCAAACCACACCCTTGTCGTCTATCTGCGCAAGTGGATGAGATTTCACTTTATTTTTCAATGTTTGCCATATTTAAGCATGCATTAGAGTGAAGGGGCCGAACGACTTACATTACACTTCCAGTAAACACTAATTATTTTTCCATGGCAAAAAATAAAAACACTAATTATTTTTCGATTTTAAGATACTATCAAACTAGGACGGTTCCTAACCATTCAACAAAATGGACACTAAATGAGACTATGGGTATTTAGTGATCGTATGTATACGAGATTTGAATTTAAAATCTCATTCAACAAAGCGGATACTAAAAGTCACTAAACTAAGGCCTCCATCTTGAACCATCCAAAAGGGCATAATGATTTTTTCTCCATGTAAAAGGTATATGATTTATCAAAATTAAAAAAAGGTATAATTATTTTTCTCCCTGCAAAATGCATAATTGACATCAAGTAATTCAACTTCAACACGTAGACTTTGTTTGGATGGAGCTACTTGAAAGAAAGTATTTAGATTTGACGACAAAGTTAAATTTGTTTTTAAAAAAAATTAGAGAACATTAGATTGCATGTATTTGAAATAACTAAATGTAGTAAATTTGGAATAGATTTGAAACGATTATATACAAGGAGTCATTTGAAATCCACTTATTTTCTTCATTTCCTTCTTATTCAAATCTTGACATACCTGAATTGTCGTAACTTTAAACAAACAATTTAACCTTATAATGTCATCTAAATTCCTAAATTTCACATACACATGATGGAACTTCATATTTTCCATTAAAAAAATAACTAAAAAAGGTGAAATATTATCTCAACTGACTGTGAAGTGGTGGATATTTCATTGAAGAAGTTTGTAATGCTGCTTCAAGAAGAAATTAAGGTGCTCCATAATAAAAATGGTACATGAAAGAAAGCGAAAGCTTGGACCGCAGCCATGGCCACTTCCCTTCTTAATTATTACTTCCAACTAAATTCTTGGTCACATGGTTCTGCATATCGTCGTGCAACAAAGACTATAATAAATGGGAAACCTCAACCCAAGTGTTTTGGTAGCTTTTCTAGAATTAAGGAAGTGAGCAGCAACTTCTGGTGGAATTGAATAACGGATCAAAGTACAAATCATGAATTGGGGTAAAAGGTGAGAAGCCTTTCTGGTCTGTCGTAAGTAAGTGTTCATTATAAGAAGTTAGTTTTTCAGTGGTCCACAAGGAGGATAAATTCTCATATATATATATACCTTTATTCCGTCAGTTTCACTTGGTTTCCATTTTGAGTAATTTACAACGAATTCACAAAGGTGGGTCGATAGAAACCCTAAACCCTAAATGCTTAATCCCAAAACTAATGACAATCGATGTCGTTTTGACCATATACATAGTTCTATTATCAACACATAAATTACGAGTACATACAGTTCTATTTTTAAGGAGTAGGATATTGCATTAAATTTATTTTCCATATGATTTAGTAATGAGGAGGGCACCTTTCTGTTTAATCCCATCTACCTTCTTCATTTTCCTTCCCAACCTGCAATATCATTTGATGAGAAGGATTGTTCATTTTCAAGGTCCTTCAATCATTCATGGGAAAAAAAATCAACCAAGCTGAAGATCTTTTAGTTATTTGATTAATGTTGAAGAATACGTAATCCCACGTTGAAAACTTAACAAAATAGAAAGTTTCATATAATAAATGGTTCCACTCCTATTAACACCGAGACCCTTTATGATAAACTCCACACCTACTGGGATTTGTAGATGGTTAAGTTAGGGATAATATCAGTGTAGTTAATAGTGGGCTGATGGCCTGTCTCTCTGAATTTTAACAATTAACATTGTGATGATTTTAATGCGTATAATACTAACACTAGGTTTGTCTATTTATTTGGTAACAGTTAGATGCCTAAACGATTCCCGATTTGATTGATTATTGCAAATGTTCTTTAAAATGGTGACATGAAAGGAAGACGGTTCCAATCAGCTAGCAAAACCACGTTACAAGATGGGACGTGGAAGGAAGAAGGTTGAAGGGGAAGATACAAAGAAGAACGTAACTATTATTTGGGTAATTAGTCCAAGGCCAAGCCAGTGATTCATGTGTAGTTTTGTGGGTTTGATCCACGTGTTTGGGATTTACTTTAAGATCTCATACCTCATGCTCTCCTGGGATTGTGGGGGGTTTTCTTCATCAAACAGAGAGAAAGAATAGCCATCAAGTGATCCTGTCCCATAACAGTCTGTCTGTCGAAGAATTCATCTGTGGGATATATGAAGTGCCATTTGGTATGGCCAAGAATTTGATCTTATCCTCTCAATTATGTGATGGAAAACTTCCTTTTCATATATTATCTAGATATACATTAATTTGTAACAAATGTTATTAATTTGTTTATGTCTTTTCAAACCAACCAGCCATGCATTTTTGTTCCTATCGGAGAAAGTCGAGGGAATATACATAAAAGAATTTCACGATGTTTTCAGGACAAGACACGTATGGGATCTGGCACGGGGTGACCTTCGCTACTTCAATAAGTGATTACTACTTTTTTTTTCTGGACAACCAATGATTATGTTGTCTTTGCAATCAAACTTATGTTTATTTCAGACCTCCATTTAAATTTATTAATAAAAAAAACATAAGGATTTGAATTCACTTAGGTTCGATTTTCTCCTTCTCCGATTTCGTCGTCTAATTTCTAAATTTTTATATGTTTCGGTTTTCTCCTTCTTCCAGTCTCGCTTTTATTGAAGTAATAGAATACTCACGTGTACGTTTTGATTTTCTCTATTCTACATATTTCGATTTTCTCCTTCTTTTAATTTTGCTTGTAAGTGGTTTCAATTTCGCTTATAAGTGTACGATAACTCCAGCCGTATTTGAGTTGGGAATAAGTTATTTTTAGCATCTGTATTTGAGTTTGAAAAAAATATTTTAGCATTGGAGTTGTTGGATTGCAAAACCATAAAACATGTCCACGATTTAAATATGAAGGGTTTTTCTATTTAATTTGTTTACTTTTTATACCAACGATATTAAAAGAGGGAACTCGGACCTCAAATGCATGAGTAACTGTTATTAACCACTTCAAATGCACGAGTAACTACTATTAACCACTTAAATTATAAATCCTTCCTGTAAACTTGAAACATAAAGTACTTAATTCCTTGGTGCTAAAAAAAAATAAAAATTACGCGTGCACGTAATAATATACATGCGATGATATTGAATCTTGCAAAACGTCACACACTGTAACACAAAACTTGTCACGCTCACTGATCACTCACACAGTCACTCAAGTGAAGAGTCAATTTTGTGAACAGACCTGGAAAAGGCAAGAACATCATCAGGGTTTTTAGCTCCTCCACCACCCTCTTCACCCTCATGGCTGATTATGCGTTCTTCAATGATTGCTTTGGCCGCTGGGTCAAATCCATCATTCTTGCACAAGCTTTCTGCAGACCCAGCAGCACCATTCTTCTTTCCTTCTTCTTTTCTCTTTGACTCTTCCTCCATCATCTGCTCTCTTCTCTCTTTGCGAGCCTCCATTGCCTCCGTCTTTGTATAAAATATTAGGGTTTATTGTATATGTCTATTGGGTTGGATGTGTTCATAGTTTTCAATCCATGAGGCTTCTTATAAAAGAAAAGAACAGAAAAGAAGAAGAGTATACACGTGGCCTGTGGGCTTGAGATAAATCCAGTGCAGGTATAGGTGTTAACACAACGTGTCTCCTCTGTAGGGCATAGTACAAGGAGGCGACACGTATGGGATAGGCACCTTGACATATAATGTTTGTTTTCTTTGGATTAGACTAGTTACCAAGATTGTATATCCGCTTTCTTACATCCGAGTTCAATCTCCCTACTCGTACATTAGAATATTTTATAGTATTGCTTTGGAGAAAAATGTTCGGTTCTCTTTCATTTTAACAAACTAGAAAGTAAAATTTATCTAAAGCTACAAGATAAGTAAAATTTTGTGACACTTTAAGCTCAACAAGCTACGAGGGTTCTCCCTTTAAATTGATTTCAACTTATAAAAGCATCGAAATCCTTGATTTCAACTTATGTTAAAATAGCTAAGGGTGTGGTTTTGAGAGAATATTAATTTACAGGGAAAGCAACTTGCTTGCTGACGGCCTTGCTAAGCTAAAGTTTCCATTGCAAAACTTGGATGCTTCTTGTAATTCTTACTTGAAAACCCTGCCATTTCTGTGGTTAAGAGTTTTATTGATGACCTTAGCAAGAGCTGCTACGCCTAGAACAGAAGAGTTTTTATAGGCCCCGTGATTGCGAAGGCAGACGACAGAGATAGATGGAATATAAAGGTTAAGACACAATAGATCCTAAAAACACACAACACTACACAATGCCAAGTACCACATAGAGCTCTCTCACCAGTCATTGTCAACAACATACCACATACAGCTGCACAAGTACTATACAATCTCAACAAAACATGGCGAATGGTAAATCTAACCAGCATTAGGACAAGGTATGATTTTTTTTCATTCCGAAAGGCACCCATGGGAATACCAAATGCATACTCTAATGTCATACATATATACTTTGCATAATGCCAAAATCACCATTCCAAAAGGCAGGCAAATGACTAGTATTGAAATGCTTTAACTGTTTCAAATGACTAGTATCGAGAATCCAGTGCTTTGAAAATCGCATTCCACAACATTTCCAGGTAAGAAAAATAAAACAAAATCATGTTTGTAAAGAAACGACCACTAAAATTTAACAATGAAACAGGGGAACTAAAAGTCTGATAAAATTGATTGACAAGATAAAAGAAAGTAAACACCTCAATCTCAAAAACAAAAATATCAATATCTTGCATAAACCTAATTCATCCTCCTGATGCTCTTTGATGTAATCTTCACGGTTTCCAGCATCACCACATTCGACATAGTGGTTTCTCTTCTTCTTTAGACCACCCAGGGGTGCCTTGAGCTTAAGTAAATAATTACATAAAACAAAGGAGGAACTCTGGAGGGATCTGAATAATCAGATTCTTCTGCCGTGTACAAATTTTTTGCATGCCCATAAAGAAAGAAGTAAGAGCTAATGGGAACTCTCCCATAAAAAAGTGGTTATCAGAATGGGACAAGGTTCTGAAAAGAGCTTCATATGTTAATCCTATTTGCATAAATGAGATTATGATGCATTAGGGCAAGTGTAGCAGTAAGTATTGAGTAGTAGAAGAACAAAAGGTTAACTGGGAGTCCATATTACATAGAGGCACGTGGGTTTGGCACTGAAATTGGAGACTTTTGAAAACATACAACGCAGAATATTGTTTTAAAAATCAAAATTAAAATCCAAGGGAGCATAAGAAGAATGAGCTACCTGGTGATCGCAGTTGCGGCAAGCATAGAGGAGGATCCTCTGGTCCTTGTCCTCTCTTGGGTATCAATGCTAAATCGCAGCTTCCTTGTATAAAGTTAAAAAAAACCAATGGAAATTTAACAAATAAAAACTTTGATCTATAAAAACAGAACCCCAAGTACAGTGCAAGTTCAAATAAAGCAAGAGTTACAAAGAAAGAAATCACAAGAAACATCTACAAAGATTATTTTACTCCACATTGGCAACATGGATAATCCTTCATCTAGGAAGCCCCAAAATTACAATGAACTAATTCAAAACTTAACATATCTTGAACCATACACAAGCGCTCTCCTTTATGCTCCATCACCTCAATTTAACGCTTTCTGCTGTGTCTCCTGCTCTTCCTCCGGCTCCTCCTATCATCAGAATCGGATTCGGAAGCTGACTCTGTCTCAGAAGATTCAGATGATGAGCTGTACCTTCTACGCCGCCTTCCCATCTTTTGCTTCTTTTTCTTCCTTCTGAGCCTCTTCCTTTCCTCTTCTGAATCAGAAGATGAACTGTAATCTGAACTAGACTCCTCTGAAGAATAATCAGATCCTGTAACTGATGATGCCCCACTATCATCAGTATCAAACACTGAAGCCTCACTATCACTGCCAGAATCAGAAGTTGCCCGATGCTTCCTCTTGCTTTTCTTTGACTGCTTTTCACTCTTCTCTTCCTTGTTAATATTATCTGGACTATCCAAATCGTAGGATTCTGAGACCTTCATCTTCAGTTTAGGATTTTTTAGTTGCTGGGTCCTAGACGGTCGCGAAATGTAAACACGTTCGTTCTTGCATTCATATGTCCAATGCCCGGGCTGATAACACTTCTGGCATTGTGAAGCTGCACCAGCAATGGTAGATACATTTGACTTGAGGTCTTTTCGTTCACCCAATCTCACTGCCTTTTCAGTACTCATCAAATACATCTGTCTCTTGGCTTCCCTTTTCTCCTGCCATCTGCTGGGTCCTTCTTCCTTCTGCCCATAAGCATTAACATTGCGGGCAGCAGCAGCTGCCGCCCTTTCAGCCTGAGCTCGACTAAGACCTTTTGCAGCAGTCAAGGCTGCAGCCTTGATCCTTTCAGCAGCAGCCTCAGCTTTTTCTTCTTTCTTACTTGACATGTTCTAAATCACAACGTTCAATTTGGACAACCAATTTGGACGGCAGCAAAACCACGAACCAGAAAATAAACCAAAACAAAACTCTGCGTAAAAAAGAAAATAAACAAACAAAAAACCCACGTATCAGAAGCAAATAAGGAACATCTGCACAAGCCATATCTTATTCGATGTAAGAGAACAAATTCATATAAAAAAAGGAACTCGACAAACCTGTATCTACAAGGCCGACAACATCCCCTTTCTCTTTCCTTTTGTTTTCAGGAACCAAAAGAAAAAATCTGTGAAAAAAAATGAAGAATAAGAAAAGAAACACCAAATTTAACAGCAAAGACAGTATGTTAGAGAATGAAAAATACAGACTTACAGTGCAAATTCAAAAGCTTTGAAGGATTTGAGTTCAAGGCTCAATACTCACAGTGACAGAAGAAGAGGAAAGTTGTAACTGTTTAAGACTTAAACAGGGGAAACCGAGAATGAGATCAAATCTTCTGATTTCGGAACCCTAAAGTGCTAGAAATAGAAAGTCAAGCCGACAACTCGAGATTTCAGAATGGGAGAATGCTCGCTGAATTGAGGAAAGCGTAAAAAAATTTAGGGTTAGACCACAAGCCCAAGCCCAGCCCACTAAACAGCGGGCCGGGCCACCCCATAGCCCATAATAAGTTGGGCCGGGCTTTTTCTTATTGGGATTGATGACCCCATCGGCCCGTGAACTCGTGGGTCAAATGATGATCCCTTAATTAAATTTATAACTTTTTGAAAAAAGAAAATATCCAAAATGTTTTAAACTTTGGGAGGTGGGAGTTTGTAGTGTGTTACTAATTAGGAATTAGATTCCACTTATGGAGGATTTCTACATTTACTTCACATCAATGAATTAAAAAGTAAGTGGGGCCCACACAAAATTAGGAATTGAATTTCTGATTTTGGAGTAATTCAATTATTGAGTGTGAGGAGGTATTCTAATCATGGATAACTAACCCATTATGATTTTTTATTTTTTTTATTTTTATATACCCCATTATATCCTCCTTCCCCACATACTCCTTTCCTGCCTTCTTGCCTACTGTTGGGTCCTCACTGTCGTAGGTGGGTGTCTACTCGTGGCTGAGGTGGTGGCTAGGGAAGGTCTGCAGGCGGCCGCGGGGGGCACACCGTCGCGATGGCTAGGTGATTTGCCATCGGTAGTTTTACTGCCTCCTTCCTCTTACTCACCCCCTTCTCATATGGTTTAGTACAAGTTTCACTAGACTCCAAATCTAACTCTCCTCACTTAATATAGTTTTAGGGTACATACAACTTCACTAAATCCGAAGTATATATACTCCTCCATACAATTCTCCTACTCCAATTACGTATTATAAACATGTCATGGGAGGGCAAAACCCACAAACAGGCCACGAGGAAACGACCGCGCCAAGGGGGGGTGTGGGGGGAAGAAAAGGGAGGGGAGAATGAACAAAGCCGAAGGGGGTATGGGGGTCCAGAAAATATGATAGATGAAAGGGGGGGGGGGTCGGGGAAGGGGTGAAAGAGAAAAAGGGAAGGGACACCATAGGAGCCGCAGGGAAGGAAGAAGGGCAAGGCGGAATGGGGGCAGGAACGACGGCAATGGCTGGGAGGGGGGGAAGGGCACCATGCCGGGGGCGGGGGCGGGGATAATAGATAGAGAGGCGGAAAGGGGGGAGGAGGAACGGGGGGGGGACGGGAGAGCAGAAGGAAAGCAGCAACAACCTGGGGAGGAGATGGGAAGGCGGAAAGGGGAGTCACAGCAGCACAACCGCGCCAACACAAGGGGGAAACGCAGGCACAAGAGGCAACCGATGGCTCGCGCGGCAGAACGGCGAAGGGGGGAACAGGGGGTGGGCAAAACAGGGCCGGGGACGAGGGAAAAACAAAAGCGACCGGGAAAAGGGGGGAAAACAGGCACGGAGGGAGCAAGGAGGGGCACAACACTTGGAGCTTTAGCTATTGGTGTGGGATAAAATAGTCTAGTAGAATTTGGATTAGAGTAAGGGGTGAAAATGATGGGGTCGATTAAGATTAGACTAGGTTAAGTGTTTGATTCCCTTCCATTGTAACCAAAAAAGAATTACATGTTTTAAAGCCAACCCTAAGAAAGGAGATGTAATATACACCTAGATAAAAACACACTTTCTTCGGATGACTAACTAGATAAATAACACCTATAGAATGACAAAAGATGCAACCCAAGTCATTAAAGAGACGAGATAAGTACATTTTGTGACTTTTTAAGCTCATCAAGCCACAAGAAGCGTCGTATGCTTCAAATGCTTTGACAATTTGACAGAAGAAGAGTTCTACTAAATACCAACCCCTCATTAGAGGCTGCAAGAATATGTTGGGGAGTGTGCGGTTTTTGGACGCATTTCACCACAATTGTCATATAACACATACAGCTGCAGAAGTATATACAATCTCAAAGACCATTAGCATTAGGTCAGACTAAAACTTAGCATTTCATACCAACACAATAACGAGTCTCCCACTCCTGTTAAAATAAAGACTGCTATGTCATACAAAGTATAATGCCGATATCAACCATTCGAAAGGGTAGGCAAACAGAGCAAGTAATCAATTGAAATGCTTTCACTGTTTCAAATGACTAATACGGAGAATCCAGTGCTTTGAAATTTGCATCCCACACCATTTCAGGGTAAGAAAAATCAATAAGACTGACAAGGAAAACCATTTGTAAAGATACGACTTAAATTTAACAATGAAATAGGGGAACTAAAAGTCTGATAAAGTTGATTGACAAGATAAAGAAAGTAAACACCTCAATCTGGAAAACAAAAATATCAAACTCTTGCATAAACCTAATTCATCCTCCTGATGAGCTCGTTGATGTAATCTTCACGGTTTCCAGCATCACCACCTTCGACATAGTGGTTTCTCTTCTTCTTTAGACCACCCAGGGGTGCCTTGAGCTTAAATGGCCAGAGAAAGTTATTTGCCTCCTTGAAGTGAGGTCCAACAGTCAATATCTCATGGATGAGGTCCTCCACGCAGATAATTCCAAACTTACCCAAAGCCTGTGATTTCACAAACATGTCAGTGAATAGATGCAAATGTGTTCAAGGAAAACTTGATCCAGATATTATTTAATTTACTAATCATATACTCTGTTAACAAACCTGTTCAACAATTGAATTGTCAGTCAAAGCGGTTCTCTGTTTGTTAAGTTTCCCATAACCCCTCTTGTAGATTAGTTCTTTGACACTCTTCAAATTAGGATACCTGAAGTCCATAGCATAATATATATTAACAGAAAAATTAAATATATAAACAAAAAAACCTGGAAATAACCATCACCAGTCTATGAAGCTCCAAAAAAGAAAAATGCATACCCATAAGTCACATAGGGTTCAACCCTATGCAACATGTTCAATGTGGCCTTGTTTACTTTCAAGAAGACACCATTGAATATCTACAACAATCAGAAAAAAGGAATGAAAAATCAGATAATTTAACTATCACATGAATTTTAATTAGCCTAATTTAATTACCCATTTCAGAAAAATGAAACTTCAATTGAGGTGTTACCTGTCTCAAACGCAGAAGTTGCAAAATCTTCTTAGTTTTTGGGTCAATGGCATTGATTCTGAACGTTTCAAAAAATAAAAACCCAAGAAGACAAAAATCATAATCAACAAACACTCAACCAAAGAGACACCAAGTAGAAGAATCCATAGCCAATGTCACAAAATGCATACATACCCACGAATCCTGACAATGAACAACAGCTTGGCCTCTGGGTTGACATAAAACCCACCCTTCAGCTTCGCCTCACGCTTCAAACTAATCAACTCCTTTTGCTGACAAATAAATTTCAGGAAAACCAAACCATCAGAGCCCAATCCAAATCCAAACATCAAGTTCAAGACCGACAAATAAAAAAGAAGATTTGAACAATATTCAACGATGGGGTATTGTATATGTACCTGTTCATCATACTCCTTGGCATACTGCTTGGCCCGGTTGTAAATCAACTTGCGGTTTTCGGAGTTCTTCTTCTTTGCAGATTCAAGGCCTTGCTTTTTGGCAAGAGCCCATTGCTCCTCTCTCTTTCTCTTCTTCAACACTGATTCTGGAACCACTGGCCCTGCCTTCACTTCTTCGCCCATCTCTGCAAAACTGGTGTGAAGAGAGGAAGAAGAAGAAGAGTTTAAAAGACAAAGGAGGTGTTGTGCGGCTGCAGGTAGAGAGATGAAATGGAAGGAGCGAAGAAATAGAATTTAGGGTTTTAGGAGACTATAATCGGGTGCGATAAGTGTAAAGAGATAAAAGTGAATGCATGTTTATGACCAATAAGGTGACGACACCTAACAATTACAGAAATTTGAGAAAAATATAATTTTTTAATATGAATAATTATTTTCTCCTTCTCCTCCGTGTAATACTAATAACAAATGAAATGTTAGTGTTCGTAATTTTACGAAATTTCGGGCCCGAATATTAATTTCACTGCCACAAAATAAACCCTAATTCCTCCTAAACCCTCTCTTGGAATTGGAGCTTTCTCCCTCCAAATAAGCTCAGAGCTCAGAAGCCTCGCATGCCCAAGTCCCTAACAAGCACGCAGGACACTATCAACCCCACCCTTCTCGCCTTCAGGCCTCGCCAAGTTCAGCTCGCAAACCTAGAAAATATGAAGCACAGTAAGCCCAATATCTCCAGCGACAGCACCCAAACTCTAAGTCCCGGCCAAAAGGGTCCACTCCTCCATGCTGTGGCTCGTTTCCTGGAGAGCAATGGATTCTCCAAAACCCTGAAAAAGTTCCGGTCCGAAGCTCAAATCGAGGTGGGCAGCTGTCTATTTTCTGTTTGGTTGCCTAGAAAACAGAGGAAAATGCAGAGCATAATGGAATTTATTTTGATGCGTTCTCTGAAGTTCTAAAAGACACAATTTTTGAAAACCAAATAGACCCTAAATGATCGTAGGATTCCTCCTTATCATTCCTTCCGTTTGTTTTGGACCTTCTGTTATTTCCATTGTAGAGGTTTAAGTTGCCAATATAGTTCAGTTCATATCTATATGATGTTTTTTTTTGCGCTGGTCCATATATATTATGATTAAATAGTAATGAGTTTGTAAAATTGTCTCAGAAGATGGAGCTGGGAAATTTGTTAACGAAATTAGAGAGTATAAATTGATTGATACTGAATTTATTACAAAATTGGTTATTGACCCTTTTGCAGAAAAGCGGACTGAAGGAATCTTCACTGGATTTGGAAGAAATGTACTGCAAGTTGATGTGGTAAGTTGATAATTCTTTTAACTTTCTTTTTGTCTCTTAAAGAATTTAAATCAAGATGGTCATCAATTGTAACATCATCTTCAATAAGTTGGAAGTAATTCTTTAAATCTTTACTCAATCTACTCACTTCCATGCCTTTTGGGTGTCAGTTTGTTATTATTATTTTTTTTCTGAATAAGGGCATGACTCAGTATTTTGACTCCAGATGACTGTTTTTGTTGGGCAGCATAAATTTCTAAAACTTTTGTTTTCTGATTTTTGTAAGTTCAACGATGTGGAGGTAGCAACATTGGTACTGTTATGCTAATCTTTCCTGATATAGTTATTTGTGATCCGATGATTATGTAGTGTTCTCTATAGTATGACATCAATTGTTATCACTACTGTGATAGATTTTGCTAATTCGTTAAGTGGTTCTAAATTACAGGATTATCTTTGAAACAAAAGTTGTCAGGGTCTCGTAATTTAGATGATTATCATAGGTTTTTTGTTCAACATCCTAGAATTCTGTTGATGACAATCACTGGCATGAAATCCAATGCAAAGAGTCTCAATGCTGTCTGGAAGACCACCATAATACTCAATGCATTTGGTGGTTCATTCATGCTGCTGTTTAGTTAATCATTAACTTTCAGTTTCTATTCTAATTGTACTTGTGCTTCTCTGTTATGTAGTAATAATGGAGTCACAAATGTCAACAGCCAGAAGAAGAAAGGTATGCATGAATTTATAAATATGTTTGATATGCATGATCTAATGAGAATTGTCTCTCTCTCTCTCTCTCTCTCTCTCTCTCTCTCTCCTCTCTCTCTCTCTCTCTCTCTCCTCTCTGTGTGTGCATGAGCAGGATATAGTTTATATCTTTATTATTTTTTACATAAGTTCTTATGTTAGACTTGTTAATTCTGCACAGTAGACGTAAAGGAGCCTGAAAAATTGTTGGAGGAGACTGAAAAGAATTGCATGGAGAAAAAGAAAAAGAAATCTAAGGTAGCTTCTGATTCACTTGCTTCTGATTCTGAGACGGAGAAGAAACCAAAGGATAAGAAGAAAAAGAAGAACAAGTCAAGTTCTGATTCTGTTGATGCAAATGGAATTGGTAAATCAACTGCCGATGAAATTCCAGTGGATGAGAAGAGTGTCAAACCTAATAATGGTAAGAAGAAAAAGAAAGATGGTTTGGTTTCTGAAAGTCTAGATGGTGAGGATGTGAAGGTGCTTGGTATAGGAGATACAAATGGAACTAGTTCTACAAAAGATAATTTGAAGATATCAGATGTGGATGCTACCGGTAAGGATAGTAAAAGGTCCAAGAAAAGAAAAAGATTAGCGTCTGAAGGAAATGATTCGCAGCCTGCTGACAACAGAGAAGATGAAGAATCCAAGCGCAGAAAGGTAGAGAGTTTAAAAGCATCCAAGGGAAGTGAGCAACCAGCAAATAGTGATGCGTCCCTAGGAAAAGCTGAAAATGCTGGTAAAGATAGTAGAGGGGAAAGTGGTCAAGTTGGTCCAGATGTGTTTCAAAAGGCTTCTGTTACGCAGCTGGATGGCCAGGCAAATGGGAACCTAGAGAAAAGTGCTGAGAAGTCTTCGATAAAGAAAAGCATGAAGAAGCAGCGCGATGGTTCTGATGAGGTACTTCCTCGATCTTTATGTGTATGAGAAAGCATGCTAGTGAACTATTTGAGATTAGAAGTTATATCCCCTCTGTATGGATTTCTACTGCTCCTTATTTGCCAATTTGCTACATGAATTATATGTGAAACACCATTTATTTGTAAAAGCTGTGATCTTATTTATAATATATCTGACTAAAAGAAATCAATCTATTCCTATCATAAAAATGCTTAAATACATGGTTACTATGACCTGATGGTATGTTAGGAGTTGTCAAAATTTGAGAAGGGTTAGATTTTTACTAATCATTTCTGCATTGAAAAAACACATCCATATTTATTCAAGATTCCTTGATGGTCAGAAAAAGCACATCCTTATGTCCATCATTCAACTATCTTGTATATTGGACAAAATCTATTTCAATGGTATGTCCCCTTGGGAATCTCTGTTGGGCCTTACCCCTTTTTAGGGCTGCCATATATGCTATCACCCAATTATATAACAAGTAACACTAAGACGAAGGAAGTTTGGTATATTTTGTGTTATCTTTTACATGCAACACTTAATAATGTATTGATTTTATGGTTTTGAAAGGTCCCGGGGTTTTATGACTTGATGTAGATGGTCTTATTGAAAGTGTAATGGAAGATGGTTAGGGAAGTGAAGTTTTTAATGATTTTTGTAACGATTAACTATTTAAGATGTGAGTGATTCATGCGGCGTCTTTTGAGACTCTGGTTGCTACATGGCATGTCAAATGTACTTTTCCTTTTTCATGTTTTTTTTTGGATCTAAGTCATTTCAAAGGAGGTTTTTATTGTGAAACTTCTAAACTGTTGTGCTTTATACGTATGCATGGGTTTTGTATGCAGTGCTTGATGATGTTGTTGTTGGAGTGATGTATGTTGCCTTTCTCTATTCTCTCTTTTTGCACGATACGGATGTAGCTTAAAGGTTTAAATAATGTTTATAAATGCTGTTATTGCAGCCAACAGCTTTTAAGGCATTTCAAAGGGTAAAAGCTGAGGAGGTGGAATTCGTAGACGAGAAGCTTCGGGATAATTCTTACTGGGCAAAGGTGTGAGACTGGTTGGCTTCTGTATTTTTTTCTTCCACCCTGTATTTATTTGTGTGTCCACTAATTTTCTCACTCTCAATTCTGTGCAGGATGGTGCAGAGATTGGCTACGGTGCAAAAGCACAGGAAGTTCTTGGGCAAGTTAGAGGAAGGTGTGTATACTGATTGCCACTTGTTTGTTAATGTTAACTAAAGACATTGTTGTATTTCAAAGTGTTTTTCATGCTCTTTTAATTATCATCTTGCTTTTCCCTTTGCACAAATAAAGTAAAAGTAGTGATACGAAGTATTTCATGATTATACAACTCCTATGAAACTTGACTAGTTCTTTGATTGCTACAAGGCCTACTGTTTTTGGTGGCACAATAATGTTGGGTAATTATAAAAAAATGCGCATCACTGGAAAAGGTCAAACCAATATGCCCATTGAACTGAGTTGTGCCAAGTGTAGTTGCAATATATGAATGAGTGACAAAAGATTAACAATCAATATATCTATGATTAGGTGGGGATGCCACCAATCCTAGACAAAATTTTATGAAGAAGAATTGTTTGAGATGGTTTGGCCATGTTTAGTGAAAGGCTTCAAATGTATTGGTTAGAAAGAGTTATTTGATGTAAGTTGGAGTCAAGCTGTGCAAAAGTTATTGGTTGACTGACAGTTATATGGGTGTTAATTGGGTAGAGATTGATCATCTAAGATGATGGCTTTAGAATGGGGTTATATTTCATAGTGAAAAAAGGGCCATCTACCTGACTTGTGATAAAAGTTAAGTTTAAATGCCACTTGTGTCTTTATTCACTTGAACAGAAACCCCCCATATTGGTCTCTTTAACGGAAACACTAGCATACATAATGGAATGGTATCCTTGGGAATCATCTTGGATGAAGAATGGAAGGGGGTTCAGTAAATTAAAATGTTCTCAGCTGATTGTCCTGTTCACACACAACACCTACATGCGCATGCACACACTAAAATGCATTGTGCTCTCTAGACACTTGTTTCTTAATTATGCTTTCGATTGAATGTGTAGAACCTAAATCTCTCTCTTACGCAGGGATTTTCGTCATGAAAAGACTAAGAAGAAGCGTGGGTCATACAGAGGAGGGCAGATTGATCAGCAGTCACACTCAGTCAAGTTCAATTATGATGATGAAGATTAACCGGAAACCTTTCCTGAGGCGCAAGTTTACAGAAACAGTATTCGCTTGCAGAAACACCTGCGTCTTTTATATTCTGCACAAGTTTTCAATGAAAGGGCTTCTACATGTTGAGAATTTATTTTGAACTTCACGTTTTTTCTTAATGTTTTTTTTTATGGGATGAGCCTCTTTATTTCCTTCTTAAATATGGAAGGCGTGCTCCAGTCCTTGATTGTATTTTTTCTCAAACTAGTGTTGGTCATAAGAATCCTTTCTATTTGTTATTTTTTATCTCTCTTCTTTTACCCTCAGGTTTGAGATCCGATGTATTTCATTGCAACTTCCGTGGTTACAAGATAAGCAAACGAAATGTCTGTGTTAGTAGCTGAAGAGACGTTTTTAGCCGCCAGGGTTACACAACTTCTTGGCTACCTTGTTAGACTGCCAACAGTCCACTTCTCCATTTATTATTATTATTATTACTGCATACAATGCAATTCTCCATTGCTGAGTGTCTCTTCCTTATTTTGTGAAGTTCTTATTTCTATTTAAATCTTTAGAAAATAAAAAGAAAGAAAGAATAGTAATATTATATTTAAATCTTCAACTTAATAATAATAAAAATAAATAATAGGTTATTATATGTATGAATGTGTGTGACATCATGTAAGGTTGAACACAGCGTTGTATAGATATTTTTGTAGGGAAAATGCATATGATTATATCTGAAATGCGCTGTTTTTAATGTTCACCAATGAACCTCCCAAGTGAATCGAAATAGATGTTGGATCAATCTTGCAGGTGCAGTTATAAGTTCCCTAGAGTCTACCTAAGTAGAAAGGAAAATTCATTTTTGCAAGAAAATATGTGCGTTGGCCCAACCTAGAGGTCCAGTTCTGTGCAATTTTATTCCATTAAGCATTTCCCACCGTATTCTTAAGATTCTTTTCTTGGGTTCTGGTGTTGGTGAGTAGATGAATCTTGTAAACCATACATTGATTCTGGGTTTTGGTGGATTAAATTGAATTAGTGGGTTTTGACAGATTGGATTGAATCCTGCGCAGCCCAAGGCTCTTCAATGAAATGTGTGGGCGGAGAAGGAAGTGAAAGACAAATGAATGGACTTAGGGAGGCCATTGACAGATGTGCTTCCATTGACTTGGGTTTCATGGCATATGAACATGTCCAAGATTTGGCTACTTTTCAAAATTCCCCATGGTTGGCTACAATTAAATCTGTGAAATCCAAGATGCAAAAATATGATGCTTAGCCGCAAACAGTTTATGTAAGAAAGTCAAATGACTTCAAGATGCAAAGCCCAAGATGAGCATAGGGCATGTTTTCGTGTCAAATGAACTCAAAAAGCTATGCCCACAAGATAGTAGGAGCTATTTGAAGGTAAGGATCCTATTACTTTTCAACTTCTTTGCATAAAAGGTTAACTTAGAATCATTGTTGCATTATTCCATCGCTATCAGTGGAGTTGAAACAATAATCATGTTGCTACTCATTTTTCAACACCGTGAACGATGAGAGCCGCAACATTGACAATTTTTCAAAAAGCAAAGAAAAGAAAGCAAAAGAAAAAGCAACCAATTACCAGAAAGGCTTTTGTTTTTTACTTAACTTTACCTTGTCTAGAAAGATCTTTCCTTTCTATATATGTTGAACACAGAAAGAGAAGAATCTCAACCCACACAAGTTTTGAGTAATGTTTTACTCGTTGCTGCAGTATTCATCCTAGAGGGCAACAAAAAATGCAGTGCTTTCCTCTTCCATTTCTGCATGCAAGAGAGTTCAACAAGAGCCATCTCTCCTGTGCAGAATCAACGTTTGTAGCATGTGGTGGTGCCATTTCTCCTGCGACTATGGTGATGGATTTCGTGCCGGTGGGAAGAGCAAATGTTTAGAAGTATCATTTGATGTCACTGGAGGTTGCAGATTAAGCTGCAAGATGATGGGAGTCAGGTTCTGGTATTTACCAGAACCTAGGATACTCATATGGCTCACATGATCGTGCAACATTTTTTGCATTACCATTTACCAGTGAAATTAGCAGAACTAAGAATGCTTCTATGTCCAAGAGGAGGGCTTAGCAAGCGATCTAGTAGCTTGTTTTATCAAAATGTGGTTCGTCTCATAAGCTCTAAGGAGAATACTACACCAGCAGATCCCATCCAATCTGTCAGTCCCATGAAATCAGCTGATCCCATTACATCAGCCTTAGAAGCCTCCTAACCACAAGCGCGGCATTCATCAGCCAGAATGATTAATTGTCAATTCCTCTCTAATATATGTAATTAATTAATTGTCAATTCCTCTGCAGATAATACAGAGAACGTATCGTCTTGATTGTGGCAATTGTTCTTAATCTCTCTGTTCTCATCCCTCTCTCTTCCTCTTGAGTTCATTCTGTTATAAGCCCTAGCATCTCAAATGGCATCCTGGTGGAATGAATAAGTGGCAGAACCTATATTTAAGTTTGCTATATAAGCATAAAAAGAAACAAAAAAAGTTTAGTTCGTGTGCTGGTGTATCTATATACTTGTGTTTTCAATGCTGAAAACAGCTCTTTTCTTTTTCTTGCCCATGTTTGTTTACCCAACAATGGAAAAAAGAAAATGGAGAGTTTGCCTGATGCTAACCCGATCCAATATAATGCAAGTATCCTTGAAACCAATTGGCAATAGGCAGTAAGACATAAATATATTTATAATATTTATTCAGTTTTAGTTTATGAAGTAAATTACATGGAGAAAAAAGATTTATCACACAAGTTGTTCTTTTGGTGTTATAGTCAACAACAAGAGTCACTACTAGACAATCTCATTATAAGCCAGACAACTCGTGGCCTATACCACGGATTGTCCACAAAATAACTAATAGTGGTAGTTGATGGCGTTGTCATTAAGTTTCCGCCTCGACAATGAGTCTCCATGGCCTATAAGTGGTGGGTCCCTCGTTATTTTTAGCCCTGCTGCAACTCTGTCTTTATATATGGGATGGGGGCAATGGTTGTAGTAACTACATGACAGAAAAATAAAATGTTTTGTGAACCTAGATGCAGGGGCGGAACTAGTCCAAGGGTTGTCCATGTTGTAGCTTAGGGAAGGTTTTGGGGAAAAAAATAATTAAACAAATATAGCTTAATATTTTAAACTTAAAAAAAATAAAATAAAAATATACAATTGCATATCCTACCACACCAATAGGCATAATCAAAGGTCTTCCACATTTGTATTTGGTTGTCAAAGTTTATCCCAAACATCAATTTTAATCCTTTTCCATTAAAGTATCTCCAAAAGAGAAGCATTTTTTCTAAATAAAATTCACCCTTTTGTGAATAATATGGCTCTAATTCCATTTTTTTTTCTTGTGTTTACAACTAACGTGATTTATATGATTTAATGTATACTTTTATTTCTTAAAAAAATATATAGAAACTGTCAGTACCAAAAAAAAAAAATAAATAGATTTTAAACTAATAACTTTAGCTAGCTCACTCATTGAAATTTTTTGAATCCGCCCTTGCCTAGATGAAAAAGTGGTTTCCCAAGTTAAGCTTGAAGACATAAAATTGCAAAAAGCTGAAGGAAAATGAGTCCTCTAAGTCAAAAGAAAGATGCACAGAGGGTTTAGGAAAGGGCGGAAAGGGAAGTGCTCGTGCTCCCTAAATTTTGTGGGACATGCAGTCCTTAGACCCAAATCGTCTGTAGGCCCAAATTGGACCCAAGTGTTGACTCAAATGTCGATCTCAATTTACTCCATGGAACTCAAGTTTTCTCACTTAACACTCTAGAACCTTACTTTGTGTCCTACTTTGCTTCATTTCGTCAACTCTGTTAACAAATCTGTTTAACTTGTTGACATGGCATGAACATTTTAATAATTTCAGCTATTAAAACTCAAACAACCACCCCTGCCCAAACATCATTCTCTCTCTCTCTCCTTCACCACCTAGAATTCCATTTGAGACTTGGATTTTTTTTCCTCAACACGCCCAACCCAAACCATCACTCAGGTGGGACATGATTCATGAATTGTGTTTTTAACAAGTATTAATGGAGTGTTAGTTAGATTGGCCCTTTTGTGTGCTCCCAACTGATCATGGTTTCAAACCTTAATGGTACCAGTGTGTGTGAGTTTTCCCCTTCCCCCTTTCTAACTTTGGCAAAAACAAAACAAAAATAAAAATTGACTTTTGTGTATGTGGTAATGTGTGATGAATACAACAAATAATTGGGCTCATGCCACATAAGCAAATTAATGAAGTTGACCAAACGAGACAAAGTGGGACATGAAGTAAGGTTCTAGAGCATTAAGTGGGAAAATTTGAGTTCCATGGGGTAAATTGAGATTGACATTCGTTTTTGGTTCTTCAAGATTCACTAGCATGATATTTGTTCTCATCATCTTGTTAACGGCTAATTATAGGGGAGGACTGGCGTATGAGAATCTTTTTTGTTGCCTTCCATTTTCGGTATGGAGCGAACAGGGGCAGCAAAATTAGAAAAGAAAAAGATTAAAATAGGTGTGTCCAGAAAACGGCGTAGAAACTAATTTTGTAGGCGAAATGCATATGATTATATTTGAAATGAACTGTTTTTAATGTTTACCAATGGACCACCGAAGTGAATCAAAATAGATGCCGGACTGATCTTGCTGGTGCACTTAAGTTCTCTAGAGTCTCCCTAAGCAGAAAGGAAGATTCATTTTTGTATGAAGAGATATGCATCACTAATGGGCAAGCTGAAAGCTTGCATTTGCCCAACCAAGAGGTCTAGTTCTGTGTATAAGGTTAGAATTCTGAATCATTATTGTTGCATTCCACCGCTATCAGTGGAGTTGAAACAATAATCATGTTGCTACTCATTTTCAACGATGATATGATGAGCGCCGCACCATTGACAAAGGTTATAAAAAATGATTGAGAAATGGAAAACAACTATCGAAAGCAAAACCAAAAGCAAAGAAAAAGCAACCAATTACTAAAAAGGCTTTTGTTTTTTTACTTAGCTTTACCCTGTCTAGAAAAGATCTTTCTTTCTATATATGTAGGGCAGAGAAAGAGAAAAATCTCAATCCACACAAGTTTTGAGTGTAATGTTTTACTCGTTGCTGCAATATTCATGCAGTGCTTTCCTCTTCCAGTTCTGCATGCAAGAGAGTTAAACAAGTGCCATCTCTCCTGTGCAGAATCGATGCTTGTAGCATGTGGTGGTGCCATTTCTCCTGCGACTACGGTGATGGATTTCATGCCGGTGGGAAGAGCAAATATTTAGAAGTATCATTTTCTGTCACTGGAGATTGCAGATGAAGCTGCAAGATGATGGGAGTCCGGTTCTGATATTTACCAGAACTAAGGATGCTCATATGGCTCACATGATCTTGCAACATTTTTTACATTACCATTTACCAGCATTAAGATTCTATAATGGTAACATTAGCAGAACTAAGAATGCTTCTATGTTCTGGAGGAGGGCTTAGCTACCGATCTAGTTGCTTGTTTTACCGAAATGTTGTACGTGTGTGCTCATAAGCTCTAGCATCTCAAATGGCATCGTGGCGGAATGAATGAGTGGCAGAACCTACATTTAAGTCTTTCTATAAGCATAAAAAGATACAAAAAAAGTTTAGTTCGTGTGCTGGGCTGCATATATTGACTTGTGTTTTCAATGTTGAAAACTGCTCTTTTCTTTTTCTTGCTGGTGTTTGTACACCCAACAAAGGAAAAAAGAAAATGGAGAGTTTGCCTGATGCTAACCCGATCCAATAGAATCCGAGTATCCCTAAAACCAATTGGCAATAGGAAGTAATATATTTCGAATATTTATTCAGCTTTAGTTTATGGATAATCATTTTATTAGTTCCTGACCTTAGACTCGATTTGCATTTGAGTCCCTCAATTTCCAAAATCCTTCCAATGGTCCTTCAACTTCAGTTTCATTAGGACAAATGGTCCTGTCGTCAATTTTGTTAACTTTTCTGTTAAATGTAGGGGCAAAATAATATTTTTGTATTAAATTGATTAAAATATGAATAAAAAAATTAAAATTAAATTCTCTCTCCTCTCCCTCTATCCCGATATCTACCCTCCAAACTTTATTTTCATTATTATTTTGTTTGATTTTTATTTATTGTTATTTTAAAGATATGATTTTTTATTCATTTTTTTAGTTTTAATATAAAAATACCATTTTACCCCTATATTTAACAGAAAAAGTTAACAAAATTGATGGCAGGACCATTTGTCCTAACAAAAGTGAAGGTTAAGGACCACGAGAACGATTTTAAAAATTAATAGACTCAAATGCAAATTAAATTTAAATTCATAAACTAATAAAACGATTAACCCTTTTGTTTATGAAGTAAATTACAAGAGTCAAAAACAAGTCTCGTGATATCTGGGATGTGGGCAATGGTTGTAGTAACTCCGCGACAGATAAAAAGTTTTGTGGTACAGTTCTTGGACCCAAATCGTATGTAGGCCCAAATTGGACCCCAGTGCCTAAATTTGCATCGGCTTTAATAAATGACTAGATAGAACTTGTCAAAAACCCATTGTGTGGCATAGCATGGTCTACGCTCTCTACAGCCTTCGCATATTTTTCTTTCCTGAAAAGACTCTCAAAGCACATGGGTTGGCACTACAGTGAAAATGTTAGTCAAATTCTTCCTTCCATCAAGTGCACCTAAGCTCGATTCAAGTATAAGACAATCTTGAGGCAAAACCAATATAATTCTCCCTTCTCCCTCTCCCTAGCGAATGACAAAAAACAAAAAGACTGTCGAAGGTTCATGGCTTCAAGCTTGAATTTAGAGAACTTTTATTTATTTATTTTTGGGGTGAATAAGAAATAGGGGTTTAGACATGAATTCATGAACCATGAGTCTTTTTTCAGTAAAGCAAACGCAAAACATTCCTTACCCAAAGTTCTCTTACTTCAAGCATGAAATATCGCAAAGGCTTTGATGATAAATTTTTCTCAATCAAATTCTTTAATAGTTGATAATCAGTATTTAATTACTTTTCTTGTAGTTTTCAGATATGCTGTCAGCTTTTGACAAAGGGAAAAGGCAACGGTTACTTTTATAAAGATTGCATTAAATCATGAAGATTGCATTTGAGCATTCAAACAAGCTATTGAATATTGACAGAATACCTATCGCTTTAGTTTGTCAAAAGCATTTAAATGATACTTTGGCTTTTCGAAAAACAGAAAAAGAGGAAATTTCTT